TATTTTAGGAGTTCATGTCTGTCTTTGTTTCAACATACAAGCTAATGTACTGAAAGATAAATTCATTGAAAAAAATTATTCTGAAACGGAATTGACTAATACCATTAGAGATATTCAAAACAATGACAGACATGAACTCCTAAAATATAAACCTAAAACTAGAGATGAACCCATGCCCCTACCAATTATTTTTAATTTTAATAACAAAAGTAATAATGTGAAAAAGATCATAAAAAACACTGGCATATATTACAACAAGACGACACTCTCGGTAAAATTATACCAGAGTGTCCGAATGTAATATTCAGAAGAGCCAAAAATTTCAAATCAATACTAACTAAAAATTATACCAAGGAACTGAAAAATATACCCCCTCTATCCTTCTTTCCTCAGATTAAAGGTTTTTGCAAATGCAAGATGTGTATAGTCTGTAGAACTACTGACCCTGCTGTCCCATGTAAAGTTACTCAATTTATGTCGAATCGAACAAACAAAGTCTATAAAATTCATGATTTTATTAATTGTTCTACTAAAAATGTTATATATCTGCTCGAATGCCCCTGTGGTCTCCAATATGTTGGAATGACCACAAGGTGTTTGAAAACACGTTTAAGTGAGCATTGCAGAAACATCAAAAATGGATTCCAGAATCATTCATTATCCAAACATTTTATTCAACACAACAGAGACCCAAGTATGTTGAAATGTATAGGCATAAAAAATGTATGATTCCTTGGAGGGGTGGAAATATTAAAAATGTTTTAGGTAAAATAGAAATGGAGTGGGTGTACAAACTCCAAACTCTTACACCCCATGGTCTCAATGTAGACTTTGATCTGTTTAATTTTTTATAATATTTTTAATTTTTACATATTTTTTCTGTGTCTGTTGTTTTAAAATATATGCAGCCAGTACACCTTCCCATATTTATTTTACACTTTACATCTTTATTATGTTTTATGTTTTATTGTTGTTTTTTTACTGTTGTTCTTTTATTAATGCCCCTTTTTTTATTTATTATTTATTATTTTTTATTTTCCTTCTTCTTTTTTTTTTTTTATAGTGCCTAGTCGGCCGCACTCTTTAGCGTGCCGACAGGCTTCTCCTGTTGCCTAGACGACGGCTGCAGCCTTGTGCTCGCCGTCGTCTATGTTTACTTCTTCTCCCTGACGACGGCCGCATTCCTGTGCGTGCCGCCGTCACCCCTCCCCTCCCACTGACGTCAGCCGCAATCAGTGTGCGAGCTGACGTCTCCCTCCCACTCTCTTCATAGACGCTGGCGGCTGCGCAGTGCGTGCCGGCGTCTACACTACCACTCCCATACTCCTTAGCGGCATGGTGCCGGTCACATGACCGCACATTAAGTTATAAATACTTAGCTAGAATATTTGTTTTTTATATTTATTAATGCCATAACATTCATAATGAATATATTATTGCAAAAAAGTATTGATTTCTCTATTTTTATATTGTTTTATCAATTTTATGTTTTAACTCTCTGTTGATTGGCTGCTCACTTTTTGCGCCAATTTTATAGAATTACAGTTGTTATATAAACAATGTCATGCCAGGTTTCAGGTTCTTACCCCATATTGATAACGCCATTGTTGGCGAAACGCGTTTATGGACTTTTAATTGTGTATTTTATATATATTAAAGTATATTTGGTTACTTTTTATCTGTGCCACTTATCCTTTTATACACTCTAATTCATTTACTACCTGGCATCCTTTCAACATCCCGGACTCCAAGAAATCCTAGGTGGGGATTATACCACCAGCGCTACGTCAAGGAGCAGTTGTTCTGCTCCTGTCTTGTGAGTACCCATTCTATTTTATTTAATTTTATTACCAATATTTTACTCAGTGTACACTATTGGCTGTTTCTTTCTACCCGAGTGTTGGATACACCATTGACAGAGGAAGTCCACCCTATATCCCATAAGCGGGGATCAAACCGCTGTACGCCTTCTATACTAGAGCAAGTTTAGCTCTTTCAAATGTGAGTTTTATTTTTCCCTTTTTACTCATTTTTATTGTTTTAAGCATTTTACACTATTGGCTCTCCACTCTTTTATCTTCTATATACGAGCGGACCCTCACGGATGAACATAAAAAGGACAATTGTTCCGGATCAAGCACGGATAGATTCCATGACCTCAAAGAGCATATTCTAGATAAGACTTTCTTGTTTTATTACACTCATTTATTTGGACTATTTGCTATTTTATTTTGTATTTTGTTCTCATTGGCGCAGCCCTTATCTTTTATTCTTTCTCCTTCTCTAAACCATGCCTACTGCCATGTCCCTACCTAAACATTCCTTTTGGAGCTTGACAACCCACGCACGAGGATAGCAATGTGCTCCAATGAGGGCAATGTAGAGTGTATGAAAAGTAATTTTTGGGTGCTAAATTCTAAAAGTTCAATAAACTCCATAGAAAGTTATCAAATGTTCCTGCTGATTGGCCCAGTTTAAGAAAACTGATAAGAAATGCACTTTATGCTTAGCTCACTTTACAGTATGACATTATATGACATTAAAGTTTGACATTTTATTTAAAGGAAAAATATCATTAACATAATACAAAACTATTTTTTGCAGCATCCCGAAGACAATTTGAAACATTACTCCAATAAATTTATATTTCATATGTTTCCATCAAAAAGTGCTGCTTTGATCTTAGCTAGATCTCCATAGAAGGAAATATGATATCGGATAATATCACTAAATGCAAAAAATAGGTGGATTTATACTTAAAAATATAAATACTTTAATGAAGATGATGGAAAGACTGATGATCACAGTAGCAGAAGCACAGCATGTACAAAATATTCTTTGTCTTATAGGATCTAAGCCAATTACAGCAAATGTACTTCTTTCAAGATTATATTTTTTTCTTCATTAAAATATATATTCATGTAGGAAACATGGTATTAACTTACTTTGATATGATCTGGTTGTGGCCATAAGACAACACTGAACCTAATTATATTAGTGTCAAGCAAGGCATCATGTAAAAGTCCATCTGTTCTCCTTAACTACAATCTTTAATACAAACAACAAAGATAATTAAAAAACAAAAGGAGTCAATTCCTGATGATATTTCTGAAGTGACCTCTGGTAACATTGAGAAGAAGTTATGAAATGCATGGTGGTTACCAAGTTTAATAAATAAAAGCATACAGCATAGATACACTGCTCAGCCACAACATTAAAACCACTGACTGGTGAAGTGAATAATATTGATATTATTACAATGGCACCTGTCAAGAGGTGGGGTATATCAGGCAGCAAGTGAACAGTTGGACGAGTGTAAAGATCTAAGTGACTTTGACAAAGACCACATAGTGATGGCTGGATGACTGGATCAGAGCATCACCAAAACGGCAAGTCTTGTGGGGACTTACAAGTATGCAGTGGATAGTAACTACCAAAATTGGTGCCAGGAAGGACTACTAGTGAACCGGCGTAGAGAACAAAGGAATTTTCAGCAATGGTTTGAGGAACACGACAAAGAGTTTAAAGTGTTGACTTTGCTTCCAAATTCCCCAAATCTTAATCGATTAACCATTACCAAAAGAGTTGCAAGAAAGCACAACCAGTGAGCCGTCATAAGGGCCATGTGCGCCCAAGACCCATCTGGTGTGAATACACAGAAGAGCTACTGTAGCTTAAATTTCTGAAAAACATAATGTGGGCCATGATAGAAAAGTGTCAGAACACACATTGCATCATAGTTTGCTGTGTATGGGGCTTAGTAGCCACAGACCGGTCAGAGTGCCCATGATGACACCTATCCACTGTCAAAACGCCTTCTATGGGGACATGAGCATCAGAACTGGACCATGGAGCAATGGAAGAATGTTGCTTGGTTTGATGAATTATGTTTTCTTTTAGATCAGGTGGATGGTCAGGCGTGTGAGTCATTTACCTGGGTAAGAGATGGCAGCAGGATGCACTATGGGAAGAAGACAGGCAGATGGAGGCAATGTAATGCTCTGGGCAATAATCTGAAAGGAAACCTTCGGCCCTAGCATTCATGTGGCTCTTACTTTGACATGTACCAACTCCCTAGAGACTGTTACAGACCATCTGCACCGCTTCATGGCAATGGTGTTCCCTGATATCAGTGGCCTCTTTCAGCAGTATAATGCACCCTGCCACATGGTAAAAATTGTTCAGGAATGGTTTTAGGAACAAGCAAAAGAATTCAAGGTGTTGTGTTGGCCTCCAAATTCCCCAGATCTCAATGCGATTGAGCATCTGAGAGATGTGTTGGAACAACAAATCCGATCCATGGAAGTCCCACCTCGCAACTCGCAGGACTAAAGGACTAATGTCTTGGTGCCAGATACCACAGGACCCCTTCAGAGGTCTTGTGGAGGCCATGCCTTAATGAATTAGAGCTGTTTTGGCAGCTTGAGTGGAACCTACATCATATTAAGCAGGTGGTATTAATGTTGTGGTTGATCATTGTACAGATTCTTCACCAAAGTGTGTGTGGTCAGGAATTCAAAGTGATTTTTTTTTTTTATATTTTATATATTTTAACTAGCCAAACTGAAAACATAGTCTATGTTCGTCTATAAAATTTATTTATGGAAGCACTCACCTTGCACAAAATGTAAATTTAGCTGAAAAATCCTAATCGAGTGATCAGTCAAATTCATAATCTCCAAGCTGAAATGTTAATGTCACTAATCAACCAAAACACGCAATAGTCAAGCATGTTTGGTTTTATGATTGAAATTCCGCCAAAAAAATAAATAAACAGATGATTGATGGTAGGGCACAGTCAATAAATGTTGATTTTATTCACTGATCAAGAGAGAAATAAACAATACAGGAAAAAAGTCAGAGCTGTAAATACACTGGACAAAATTATAAACGCAACACTTTTGTTTTTGCCCCCACTTTTCATGAGCTGAACTCAAAGATCTATATACACAAAAGCCCAATTTCTCTCAAATATTGTTCACAAATCTGTCTAAATCGGTGTTAGTGAGCACTTCTCCTTTGCGAGATAATCCATCCACCTCACAGGTGTGGCATATCAAGATGCTATTTAGACAGCATGATTATTGCACAGGTGTGCCTTAGGCTGGCCACAATAAAAGGCCACTCTAAAATGTGCAGTTTGGAGGGTCCGGGGGTCTGAAAACCAGTCAATATCTGGTGTGACCACAATTTGCATCACCCTGTGCAACACATCTCCTTCGCATAGAATTGATCAGGTTGTTGATTGTGGCCTGTGGAATGTTGGTCCACTCCTCTTCAATGGCTGTGCGAAGTTGCTAGATATTGGCAGGACATGGAACACGCTGACGTATACGCCGATCAAGATCATCCCAAACATGCTCAATGGGTGACATGTCCGGTGAGTATGCTGGCCATGCAAGAACTGGGATGTTTTCAGCTTCCTGGATTGTGTACAGATCCTGGCAACATGGGCCATGCATTATCATGCCAATTAAGCTGGAGAGATGCCAATGTCAAGTAAGCTGGAGAGAGCGACTAGGCCATTGAAATTTCAAGGCCTCCAAAGAGAGACACCACAGACAGGATCTGATTTACCCTCTTTGCTGGCCCAAGGCCAGTTTACTTAATGTGCCTCAGCCCATCATATATTTGAAGCTTGTTGTATGTGATTGTATGGATGAATGTGACTAGTTTGGGATATGATTGCACGGTAATTATGGCTAGATGGTTGGTTGGATGGCAATACATGTAAGGTGGGTGGGGGTAGGTGAAATGTTATGTTGCCAAGTTAGTGAATGTGACAGGGTGAATAGGTATGACTGGAAGGTGAGATGGAACTGTCTGCTTGGGTAGATAGGGGAATATCTACATGTGAGACCAACGTTTCTTATAGGAAGAAACTGCTTTATTTATTTATTTTGATTGATGTATGTGGTTTGCACCACATATCTATTTATTAAATTGTGGTGTATTGCTTAAGTGAATCAAGAAACTACTTTTTGAAACTCAAAAAAAATCAGGTGGGCTACGCTCAGGCACCAAAGAGTGCTAGATTATGTGGTGCAGTATAATTTCATACAGCATAATTGTTTTCTTTCTGGCACATTAACATTACACCCATAAATACATTACTTACATTACACCCATAAATCCTCTTCAAATTTTGTTTGCAATTTGTGTGAACCTGTGAATGTACTATTAGACTTTGAAACTGTATATTTATATTTTTTATTTATGTAAGCATTTATATTACATTTTCTAGGAAAAATTCCAATATTCCCAAAAAATTCCATAAAAACCCAACAAAAAAAAAATACATATTTTCATAAAACATTAGCGCCTAATAAACTTCTGTGTAGATATGGTGATTTTTGTTAGATTGCAGTAGCTGCCTGGTATAGCCTCACAACATCCATCTGCTTGCGTATAATAACCACATAAACATGTCAACCTAACATTTTGTATTACACATCACATTTCCCATTTTAATCCAGCTTTCTGTTACCATGTGACTCTTCATAGAATAAAATTAGCTTCTTCCTACAGAATTTCAATAAGATTGTATTTAAATATAAACATTTAAAACAGAGTGCAAAATAAAACAGGTAAACGGGTCATTTTGGTCATCTTGCAACAGATATAATAACAAAAATGCCCTCTTTTACAAAACCTCTTTGCAGTAGCCAAGCTGGAAAATATATTGACAACTGTTGTTTTATGTAGATCACAGCACTGTGCCTAAGATTTACAAATATATAAACATGTTAGATGTACATTACATGTACAGAAAGAACGGCTAGAATTCAAAAGCTAAAATGGGATTTATTAAGTCTTCAAACATAGGTTACAAAAGTAGTTTAAAGGAGCACTATAGGGTCAGGAACAAAAACATGTATTCCAGACCTTTAGTGTTAAAAACACCATCTAGCCCCCCTGTCCCCCCTCCCTTCTCCTCCTAAATATAGTAAAATCTTACCTTTATTCCAGTCTGCTGGAATGGAAAGCATTGCATTGGCTGAGAATGTCAAGGAGGGAGATCAGGGGCAGAACCAGCAGCAGTCAAACACAACCCTGGCCAATCAGCACCTCCTCATAGAGATACAATGAATTAATGCATCTCTATGAGGAAAGTTCAGTGTCTCCATGCAGAGGGTGGAGACACTGAATGTCAGTCACACTGTGCAGCACTGCCTCAGGAATCACCTCTAGTAGCCATCTGAGGAGTGGCTACTGGAGGTATCCATATGCTGTAATGTAAACACTGCCTTTTCTCTGAAAAAACAGTGTTTACTGCAAAAAGCTTGAAGGGACCAACTATTCTCACCAGAACAAATAAAATAAGTTATAGTTCTTCTGGTGGCTATAGTGTCTCAGTGTCTCATTCCCTCTGCCCCACAGCCCCTCCATGTGTCCCATTGCCTCTCCCCCCTCAGCCCCACCATGTGCCCCATAGGCTCCCCCCCTGCTCTAGCCCCTCCATGTGTCTCATTCCCTCTCCCCTTAGCCCCTCCATGTGTCTCATACTCTCCTTACTCCCAGTCCCTCCATGTGTCCCATTTCTCTTTCTCCACTCCCTGTGTCCCATATCCTCCCTCACCTCCCTCCATATGTGTCCCATTTTGCCCTCTCTCCCCCCTCCCTCCCTGTGTTCCATATCCCCCATCTATCCTCTCTCTTCTCCCTTGGTCCCATACCCCCCATTTCTCCCTCCCCTCCCTGTGTCCCATACCCTTCATCTCTCTCCCCCCTACTCCCTGTGTCCCATACCCTTCATCTCTCCCGCCTTCTCTCCCTATGTCTCATTCCTACCTTTCTTCCCCCTCCCCGTGTCTCATTCCCTCCATTTCTCCCCCATACCCTCCCTGTATACCGACCCTCTCTCTCTCCTCCCTCCTGTCCTGTACCTGCTTGGCTGCGGTTCCTGGTCTGACAGGAAGTGCTCTAACAGTGAGCATTTCCCGTCAGACCGCTCAGCCACGCTACACACAGGCAAGAGGGGAGCAGCACAGTGCAGCTCTCCCTTCCTGCCAGCCCTCCGGGAATCACGGACCCGGGCTGGTGCGGCTTTGCACTGGCCCATAAAGTATCCAGGCGGCCCATGGTCACAAGGGTCGTGACTGCTGCCGGTCCCCCTGCAGTAAGGGGCCCGGTTGCAGCTGCAACCCCTGCGAATGTGATAGGCACGCCAGGGGTGAGAGGGTAAGTGTGGTAAAGCAAGGGAGTTTGATATGGTTGGAGGGGTGACATTGACAGGGTTAGGAGGGTTTAATGTGAGTGTGGCTGGGGGAATGGGGTGAGAGTGTGTGGGGGCTGAAAGAGTTTGTGAATGGTGATAGTGTATGTGGTGACAATATGTGTGGGTGGGGGTGACAGTGTGTGCATGCGGGGGTGACAGTGTGTGCATGGGGATGATAGGGTGTGGGTGGGGGTGAAAGGGTGTAAAGAGGGGCTGTGACAGGGTGTGTGTGTGGGGGGGCTGTGACAGGGTGTGTGCGTGTGCGTGTAGGGGTGACAGGGTGTGTGTGTGTGTGTGTATGTGTGCATGTGTGTGTGGAGGGGTGACAGGGTGTGTGTGGAGGGGTGACAGGGTGTGTAGGTGGCTGTTTGATGACAGGGTCAGGGGGCTGTGATAGGGTGGGCTGTGATAGGTTGGTTGGGCTTTGACAGGTTGGGGGTGATAGGGTTGGGGACTGTGACAGAGTATGGGGGGCTGTGACAGGGTAGGGGGGGCTATGACAGGGTAGGAGGGCTGTGGCAGGTAAGAGGGAGCTCCGTGGGGGCTGTGACAAGATGTGCGGGTGCTGTGACATGGTAGGGGGGCTGTGAGAGGATAAGGGGACTGGAGGGGCTGTGACATGGTGGAGGATCTTGAAAGGCTCTGTGAGAAAACCAGCTTTCTCTAAGTGTGTTCGACTAAAATTTTGTATATTTTTTCACATTTTGTTTATTTGTTTGGTAGTTTTAAAACTACCGAACTACCGACCACCCCTCTGGCTCATCATTGATAAAGGATATGTTCAATTAAGTGCTCACTATGTGTGGCCGCCGTTCGTATAGCCAAACGCCACGTGGCAGAGAAAACGGCGGCCATCTTGTTTGCATGAAAGGTGGCAGCGGGACTTGATCATTGAGTGTCTGGAACTAAAATCGGACACTCGACTTCCCGAAACACCGGTCAAACTGATGAACGCTTGCTTCCTTTTAAAAACAAAACAAAGACAGAGACTTGAAATTGAGAATGTAAACTATTTAATATGCACTATCAACATTGTCGTTGTACTCTGTTCGATTTTATTATTGACACTACCACGCATAATGTGTCAATTGTATCTTGCATTCACAATATAAAAAATGCCAATTAAGGCAATTAAATATTTATGTATCTGTCAGTAAACTAAATAATGAAGCCAGGGGTTATCCAATAAAAATAAAATTAAACAAATAAGGAAAAAATAAAAAAGACACGAAGCCCTATTTACATCTTGTAGCAAAAATCTAAGTTTGAGCACTTTTCGCCATAGGTTAATGTACTAGCTAACCATGCCATTTTCAATTTGTTGGCGTTTTATAAATAATAATAATAATAATTTGTAAAAGGGATTAATGTGGTCTAACTGTATAATTGTTATATTTTTAAATTCATTGGTTGTGAAATGGTTCATTTGTTCTGACTGCATGCTGTATAATTATTTACGCAGCATTCTGTATAAATAAAGCACTCTGCATAGGAAGTGAGAAAATGATAAATGGGGCCCTAATATGTGTTAAATAATCTGAATTTCATTACTGTGAAATCAATTGCAGACACAGCATATTTGTAAATACACTGCAGATTCTATAAGTATTGGTTTATATGACTGTGATCATTAGCTGTCTACCTATTGGATATCAGAACTGGAACTGGAACTATTCTAGAGAAAACAGAAAACAAGTTACATTTTCAGCCACTAGAGGGTACATGTACTGTGGTCTGCTTCCTAACTGTCACATCAAATTGTAACAGGTACAAAAGCCAAAGGAATTGTAAAAATCTGTTGCTATTTTCTAAGATACACCACATTAATGTGTACTGTGCTTCTGGATAGGATTTATGGGTGGGCCTTTAATATTCATACATAATACATGTGCCCCAATGTGACTTACTCTAGCATCATTATGCAATCTCTGTAGGCCTATTTTGCCATTGTTTTTGTTTTAGATTGACATCTGTACAGTCTCAATAGGTGTGTA